AGAAGGAAGGAGGAAGGGAGGGAGGGAAGGAGGGGACCAACAGAAGGTGACTTTTTATTTTTCTAAATGAGGTGGGGGGGGGTTTCCTATCACCAACTTCTTATCATTCTGTAAGAGAAAGAATATTTTAATACCAAGAACAAAAGTAGGAAGAGCAAGATCTAAGAATACAGAATAGTCCTTTAAGCTAAATAAAGTTAATTTTACGAAAAATTTACTACATTGCCTTTATTTTACTTATTTTGCCCCAAATGGGTCAAAATGTCAGGGAGCAGCAGGGGTTCTCTGGCTAACCCGGCAACCACTGATCTTGTCCCAGCCCCTCGTGTACCCACAGGGAAGCGGAGGAAAGGCCAAACCTGGGACAGGGCCCACAAGCTCTCAGTGGCCACTTCAGTGCCCCACAAGGTTCCTTCCAGCCCTCTGGTCTCCTGGATAAAATGACTTATTGAGGCTGCCTAGCTGTGGGTCAGACCCCAGACTCCCTGTGTTCCAAGTCTTCCTTTGGTCTGTGTGTCCTGAAACAAGTAATTTAACCTCTCTGTGCTTCAGTTTTCTTATTTCTAAAATGAGCAAAATAATGGTTTCTAGAATTGCCGACACATAGCAAAAGCCCAGGACTTGTTATTCTTATCAGCAAAAAGGAGGTGATTTTTAGCTGAGGCTGGAGCCTGGACAGGAGAGAAGGCACGTGTGCCCCCCACCCCATGGGCTAGCTGTGAGCCCACGTCGGGCTTTGGGGCTTCGACCCCAGGGAGGCTGCTCTGGGGCTCAGGGGGCCAAGGGCAGCCTGGGATTAGGGAAGAAACCTTTTCCCTGTCTCTTCAGAGACCGCCCCCCAACCACCCCAACATGCTCAGGCACCCCAAGCCCAGGAGCCAGTGCTCTTGTCACCAAAGCTGACACTCTGAGCAGGGGCACAGGCGGAGCTCCCGCAAACGGCATTCATGGCCACAGGGGCCAGAGAGGGGGGGCCTGGGTGGGAGAAAAGTATGGTGGACGCCAGTGACTGTAGGCACCTTGGGAGGAAGCCTTGAGGAGATGCCCAGACTCCTGATGCCGACTGAACAGATGAAGCTGGAGGCCTGAGCCAGCAGGTGAGAGTAATTAGAGAAACTGGGTTACTGATGTAAATGGACTTCATTTGTATTTCAAGTCCTGGCAGGCCTGTTACAACTGGACAAACATTTCCTGAACATCTGCCCTGTGCCCAGCACTGCCCATGAGGGGGACGTAAAAATTACAAAGCAGGGGCTTCCTTTCTGGGGACTTACACAAGGCTCACCCAGTGCCAGAGGTGCTCTGTCTCCGCAGTAGGGGCAAGGCCACCCTGGAACACGGGCCACATCTGTTCTCTGGTGCACGCCACTCGAGGGTGCACCCAGAGAGGAAGGCAGAGCACTCTGCGGCCAGCACTGACAGGACCTGGTGACAGCAGATGAGGTGAGGCGGCACGGGGAGCAAAGGCAGCTCCTGATGTCCTGGTCTGGCACCTGGGTGGAGGTGATGCTGTTTGGAGAGGAAACACAGTGAGGGGCAGGCCGGGGGGGGGGGAATCAGGAGAAACATCTAGATAAAGAAATGAGAAAGTGCAAGAAGGAAGGATGTGGGACTGAGAAGGCCTTTGAGGGCTAGACGGAAATTTTGTCTGTTGGGCGGGGTAGGACTTTAAGGGAGCACACACCAGGCAAAGAAAGTAGCCCGAGAGAAGACACAGCGGTGGAAGAAAGAAGCACAAAATTTCAGAAAAGCGAACAATTCCACTCAGTCTAAGCACTGATTGCATTAGCAGGGTGGTCGTGAGAGATGCATCAAAGCTAAAAAGAGAGATGCAGAGGTTCCTGAACGCCAGGGAGAAACGTCTGCACACAACTCCGCAGGCAATGGGGAGCCATCAGAGGTCTGGGGGCAAAGAGTGACATGATAAAGGCTATGTTGCAGGTTGCTCTAACCTCACAGCACAGGATGAACCCAAATGGGGACCAGAAGAAAGGAATATAAGAGACAAGGGTCATCAATCATTTGTTCATTCGACAAACAGTAACTTCTTTTCTGCAGAAGTAATCTTTCTCCTCAATCCAATCTCTACTCTGCTGAGCGTTAACCACCAAATGTTCTGTGTTAATATTGCACAGAAAGAGTGAATGGGTTCTACTAAACATATCAGTATTATCATTAAATATAAATGAGTTTAAGTCACCTATAGAAAGGAGTCTCCCATATACAGACAATAGAACATTTTTTACAGCTAAAAAGGAAGGAAATTCTGACCCAGGCTGCAACATTATGCTAAGTGAAATAAGCCAGTCACAAGACAAATTCTGTGATTCCACATCCATGAGGTACATAGAGCAGTTAAATTCAGAGACAGAAGGTAGACTGCTGGTTGCCAGGGGCTGAGAGAGGGAGGAATGGGAAGTTGTTTAAAGGGTTTAGAGGTTCTGTTCTACGAGGTGAAAAGAGTTCTGGAGACTGGCTGCACCACAATGTGAACACACTGAACACGTCTAACTGTATACCTAAGAATGGTCCAGATGGCAAATTTTATGTATTTTACCACAACTAAAAACAAAGATAAAAATTTTAAGAAGAGTTTTAGAATGGCTCATAGAACAAAACCCAGCTCTCAAAAAGAAACACGCCTAAAACACAGTGATTTGGAAAGGCTGGAAATAAAGGAACTGGAAAGATACACGAAGCAAATGTAAACAAAAAGCAAGCAAGGGCTGTGATCTCGATGTAAGACAAGATAGAATTCAGACGTCCAACACTGAATGAGCTGGAGACGTGAGGAGTCGGGCTCTCGCTGCAGCAAACAGCGCACCAGCCCTACCACGGGGCAGACACCACAGGAAATGCAAGAAGAAACAGAAAAGCTACTAACAGGAGACAAGACTTTCAGTCCAAGTCTCATCCAAAAAATAAGACTACAGAAAACCTAAACACTATCCTCTATAAAACACATTTCCTATGTAGGTATTAACATTTCTACCCTCAAAAGAGAGTATACCTTTTGATACACATCACGAAAACCAACCATTATCAGGGCAAAAGAAACCGCAAAGCTTCACCCGAGCTTCAATGGCATAAAGGATGTAGAACTTTGAAAACTAAAAAGCATCAAGCCAGTATCAGTTACTGATGCTGTCAACACTACAATTGTTGTCAGTATCATCATTCACCACTGGGTGGTCTCTCCACTTGCCCCTGCTTCTCTGACATGCTCTAGAGTCTGCCAAACAGGTGAGGTATAAATGCGTAATCTTTACTGTCTCCATCAGAGCTACCACTTCATTGTTTACCATATGCCAGCTACCGTACTGTTTTATGCGCAGTGCTTTACTAGAAATAGCTTTCCGTTTTATGAAAGCAAGCTTTCTGCTTTTCTCATGATCACCTTCAGGGCCCAGAACAATGCTAGGTGCATTCTGAGTAAATGCTCAGGGAAGACTTCACAAACTGAAGCACACCGATCAAGGACCCACTTTAAAGTCAGATCTGCATCTCACACTTCGCCTCAGCACTTACTAGCTGTGTGACCTTGGGCAAGTAAATTACCCTTTCTGAACCTCAGTTTTCTCACACGTAAACACAGACAGGAGTAATACCTACGCCAACCAGGACTGTTAGGAAGTGTAAATGTAGTAACATGTGAAGTGTCTGGCATGGTACCAGGTATTCAATAAACGTTAGTCTGAGGCTGACTAGAAGCTAACAAAGAGATTAAAGAGTAAAACTTATCAAAGCGATAAACTTAGACTAGGTTTTTTTTTTTCTCAAGGAAAAAAATCTTTAAATGGAAATGTCTTTCAATGTATTTGAAATGATTTTTTTTAATATCATACAAGTGATAGTGAAATAAATTATGGTACATCTTTATTGTGGAATATTGTAGGAATGCTGTATTGTAAAGGAAAGGGACGAATTTCATCTACATGTTCACCCATGGCTAGATGGTCATGACACATTGTTGGGTTCCCTTCCTTGTTTTTCAAAAATCATATATATAGAGAAAAAGGTCTGGAAGTATATATATCTGTTAAAGGGGAGTAAGATTCGGGACTTGCGAGAAATGTCTGATTTTTTATATTCCAGTTTCTTTTGTACTTCCCCCACCCCCACACACACACTACACACACACAGAATAAAGAAAAAAAAAAGTTCCCGAATTCCCTTTGGCCTATATTTTTCATGGCATTTTGATTTTTTTGAAAGCCATTGAACTGAATGGAGGAGGCGGTTAATTCTTCTGGCAAGTGTGAGAATTTCCATACGCAGCTTTTCTTTCTGAGAGAGAGACTGAAGGAAGGAGAATGAATTACTTACTCATTACTCAGCACATCCAAACAGGTAGTTTAACTCTCGTCCCTGCCACCACTGCAGGCCTGACACACTGAGTAACAGAGAAACTCTTTGATAAATGTCAACTGAAATAGAGCAATCAGCTGAAAGCCATTTGCTGAGCTGTCTGACCGCCCTGGGCTCGAGGTTTTCCTTTATTCATTTATCATGATATACGGCTTTGGCCAACATACACACAGGAGAGAAATTGTTGACATGTGGAACCCAAGTACAGAAAATCTTTCATTTTCCCCCCGTCTGTTCGCCAAATAAGTTTTTGTTTATTTAAAGACTACAGAGGATTTGGCTGTTAAGAACCAAATGCCTTTGGAGTGGAGTTACAACATAATTTATCATTTCCTCTGTTTATTAAAAAATCCTGCATCTTTGAGAAGCACATTTGCAGTGAGTGGGGGGTTTCGGCCACTCACGAAAGACTCTTGCAAAGCCCCTGCCATGTGGTTTACCCCTCGAAAGGCTCCCTGACTGCTATTTCTATCCCTGTCTTGCCCCAGCTGAGTTCCGATGGTGTGACGGCTACCCAGGGCTGGGGAATGGGGTCTGACTGAGGACAGGTAATCGGAGCAGGAGACTGTCAGCTCCTTTCATCTTTGACCTAGTTCTGACCTTGACTCCCCACTGGCTGTTGCGCAGTGTGCTCCGCCAGCACAAGCAGAGGGAGAAGTGCAACCTTTATTACTTTTAGCACGGGGCAGAATCTGAGAGGAGTAAGCTGGATGCTGCTTCGAAGGCAAGCAGCCAAGCCCTTCTGCTAAAGTGGGTTCTGTTCTAAAGGCAGACACCTTGTAGGACTGGAATAAACTTCTGACCTTCCACCCAAGACATCATAGACAGCGACTGAGTCCAGGGCACCGCGCATCTCTCAAAGACAGAGGCACAGTCCCTGACACAACGCTGGTGCTTCCCTGTTTGTGATGGCAACAGGATGCAGTGGGCAGAGCACATGATTTAGATCAGGCCTCAGTTTGACTCCCAGGTCTGCCAGTTGCTAGCTGTGTAACCCCAGGCAGGAAACTTGGCGTCTCTGAGCTCTCCCCACTCTGTAAAGTAAGACTGATGATAAATAATGAAACCCTTTAACACTTTGGGAAAGTTATCTAATATTATCAGGTCTCGCTTTTCCTATTTATAAAATGGAGATAATTCACATCTTGTGAGTTTACTGTGAAGATTAAAAATATTATCTAGGACTGTACCTAGCTCCTGATGGCTATGTTATGAGTGAATGAATGACAAATGAACAAATGAAGGAAAAAAACCTACTTGTGAGGAAAAACTTAACCTATTACGCAAAGATGAGCCACAACAAACCACTTGTCTGTCCATAACAGGCAGGCCCTGGTGACAGGGATCTCATTACCAAGAAAGTGTTAAGGACAAAAGCAAGAGTGGGAAATGACAGAATGATCGTGTTAGTTAAGACTTGAAAGAAAGAAAAAGCAGCCAGCTTTGATTGAGCAGCTACTATGTGCAATTCATTCACAACACAGTTGAATGCCTCCTATGTTCCAAGCATTACGCCAAGTTCTAAGGATACTAAAATACAGACTAATTACCAAAAAGAACAATTAAGGTTCAGATACCCAGTAGACAGTGCTAGGAGGTCTGAGGTTAGGGGGAAAAGGAAGACTTCCCTGAGGAAGTGCCGTCCAAGCTGAAGCCCAAGGATGAAAAGGACTGGCCGGGCGAGGAGTGGGAGAACGGTCCAGGCAGAGGAAAGTGCGCATGTGATGACTCAGAGGCAAAAGCACTGTTCTGGATGCTTTACGCACGGGTCCTTGGAGACCATCAGTCCAGACTGACTCCATCCTTTCCTTTGTGGTTGTTATTCTTTCCAATTTATTTAGATTTTATCGTTCGGTGAAATTGGGCAGAGGTACCCAGGCACAAGTGAAGGCCCACACTGGCCTGAACAAAGTTCAAAGGTGGGGACAGGGCCTGATTAATTGCTTGAGAAGGAGCTCTGACATCACGATCAAGACAAATGACCCAAGTCAAGTCCCTCTGAGAGCATCAGATACTCTGAAGAGCAACCCATGCCAGAAGGCCCAGAGCAGATGGGATGGACACAGAACAGGAAGAAGAGATTGAAGAGGGTCCCACTGGAAGGCTGGGCCTCACAAGGATGACAACTGCACGTGACAACCTTCCTTCTGTGTGGACGAGGTAGAGAGAGGCCAATTTGCCACCCATGGAACCAGCCAGGAACTGGGCTCTGGAGCACTACTGGCCCCTGGCAGACTTTCATCCGAGGAGTTCTTTGGTTTTCATGGCCAGATGCCTGTCCAGCTCTGCAACTATGTCGTCGGCCATTTGGCTGATCTGCAGAAACACAAAAATGAGACAATCTGATAACTGGGGCTGGAAAAGAGGGGGGAGAAATATTCCAGAACTATGAAGGGTTATCCGGGAAATAACAATGGTGATGAAAGCTCACATGAATTGCATCTCAGCCAGGCGCTGTACTAAGAACTTTATCTATACACTCTTATTGATTCCTAACAGAAAGAGATAGATACCACGAAACAGATACTATTATTATCCCCATTTCACAGATGAGGAACCTGAGGCAATTAAGAATCACTTATTCAGGATACACAGCTAGAAAGTAGCAATGACAAAATTTAATCCTGGGTCATCTGACTGCACAGCCCCAAATTCTTGACTGTTTATTACAAAGTACAGAGAAGTCAGTCTTATCTGTTGCTTAATAAACCTTTAGACTTTCCTACACCTCAGACACTCTGCTATATAAAGCCCTCATATCAACTGATAAGGAGAATATTAAGATCCCAATAGTTAAGGAGAAAAAAAAGCCTTGAAAAAAGAAGTACATCTGGTTAACAAACATGGAAAATTCAATAGACATTAAAGAAATGCAAATTAAAACAAGATATAATTTAGTTATCATAGTTAACAAAATTTGATGTTGTGGTTTTTAATTATAATATTCAATGCCAGAGCTATGGTGAAATGGATAAACTCATATATCACCAATAGGAATTCAAATTGATGCAAGTGTTCTTACCATTTTTTAACTCTAAACTCTCTCCATTGGGAAGTTACCACATGAATGGGATCTGAAAAAATGTTCTTAAGTTCTATGTGCAAAAGTATTCATCAAAGCTTTATTTTTAACAAACAAAAATCAGAAATTTAAAATGATAGCATATGTAACTGAATACGTATAGCCATAAAAATGGGTTAAGACTGTCTATTTCTCATGGAGAGAGTACAAATATAAATAACATTCCAGTACATATTTCTGAAATGTCTGAATGTTTTATAACAAGCACGGATTGCTTTAGCAATCAGAGAAAAAGAACATTTCAAGATATTATTTATAATATCATGGAAACATGCTCATGTTACCCTTGAACTAAAGACAAAGCAGGATACAAAAGTATGTATCTACACAGAAGAAATGATTTCAAATATGTTAAAAATACACATTTTCTAAAACTTGAAGAAAATGTATCAAAATATTAACAGTGATTATCTTTTAGTGACAGGGAGATAGGTAATGTATTATTTATGTCTGTATCTGTCACATCCAGCATAAAACCTAGTACATAGCAAGTGCTCAGGAAATATTTGCTAAATGAATAACTATTGGTTTTCTGTGCTTTTCTATATTCTCATATTTTTTACAGTAAACATATACTCCCTCTAAGAATGAAAAACAGGACACAATACAACTCAGTCAGTGCTGCAGCCCCCCTCCCATGCCTGAAAGAGACATAAGGCAGGAAGTCTTAGGCAGGAAGCTTTGAAGGGGGCAGCATGGTGCTCAGGATCTGTGTGTTCAGCAGCATAGCGGCTGTTTGACATCTTTATTTGCAGACTACAGGCCTTGGCCAGGAACAGGGAAATAAATGCACTGGAAAGGGGGATTTGGAGCAATTGGTCCCAGGCAGAGAGACAGCCAGGCTCTTGCCATAGCAACAGCTGCACATTTCGTCGTGAGGAAATCAGAGCTCCTGGGGCTGCTGGGCACTCCGGAAGAGGGCCAGCTTAGAACGGCTGCTCGGGCCTCCTCACCCAGCCAGCACAAACCCTTCAGAGGCTTCCTCTGCCCCCAGCCCCGAGCAGCTGCCTCGTGTGGGGTGTGGCGTGGTGCCCAGCGGCACTCCCGCACCTGCAGGCTGGTAGCGAGGAATGAGGGCTGCAAGCCTCTGGAGAAATGGTGTTTGGGGACAGGGACCAGGATCGGGGGAGGAAGGGTACCCAGAGGAACACTCTGATAATGAGGGTTCTGGGTCAAATTCTCAGGGGGGCGACAACGTGCAAGTCACTTCCCCACTCTGAGTCTCAGTTTCCTTATCTATCAAATGGGGACACTAGTCCCTTCCTCAGAAAGTAACTGCAAGGGTTAAACAAAATCATGAATATGCAAGTACGTTTAAACTGGTTATTTGCTATGTAAATACTGCTTGTGTTACTCTGATTTTTACTATCACTTTCTGAACTTCTTTTCCAATTAATCAATTAATGAAAATATTTACTAACTTTCTGCCATATTACAGGCACAAAGCGCCCTTGGGGACAGTTAGCCTGCAAGTTCATCTTTTCCGTCTTTATCAGACCTCCTAAAATAATGATGATTAACAACAAGAAGGATAGCAACGACGGCGTCTACTTACCGTGTGCCTGACGCTGGGCTAAAACCTTTACAAGCATTATTTCACATAATCCTCAAAACATACGAAATACTATCCTTACCTCCCTTTCATGTGCTGTGAATACTAATTACTTCATCTGACAGTTGCACAGTAGCTCACACTATGCAGAAGTGTTTCATCCTCTGCCACTTCACTCAGATCCAACCACCTCACATACCTGTACTGTAAGGCAGGTGGGACAGGTGTTATCCCCATTTTACACAGGAGTGAACTAAGCAATGATACGTTAACTAACCTGCCCAAGATCACATACAAAGTCAGTGGTGACTGAGCCAAGGCCTCCCCAACCCCTGACTATCAGTTTGATGCTGTTACTCCCTTTGGGGAGCCCAGAGCACTGGCCCGAGTGCATCCTCATTCAAGGGAGGCTGGGTTAGACTCACTGAAACAGTCAATCCCAGCCCCACATTCAGAGTCGCGGGGTCGGCAGAGAGGAGGAGGACGGACAAACAGGGTGAGCAGTGACTAAGACCAGCAACCATACGATCTGCTTTTAAGCATGTTGTGTCATTAGGCTCTTATCAGTCCTGTGAGGTAGGCATTACTGCTCCCACTTTACAGATGAGGAAACGGAGGCTCAGAAAGGTGAAGCCACTTGCTGACCTTAACAGCTGAGAAGTGAAAGAGCTAGGACTTGAATCTAGGCCAGTCTGATTCCAAAGCAAGAGCCCTTCCCATTACAACAGGCTGCATCACAAAGATGGTAACAGCATCACCCACATTACCATCACCATCACATTTGCTCCTTGCAGGTTCAGGGAAATGAACGGCAGAGACAGGAAAGGGAGACGGTAAGAGCACAGTGCCCCCGGGCAGGCCTGGGCAGCAAAGCTCAGGAGACCCACGTGCCACAGGGCGCTGCTTCCACCCACTGCTTCAAGCAGCCCAGCCTCCCTCTCTGCCCGTGCAGGCTGCTCGGAGCCCTTCCCTCCCTCAGCCCCACCAGCACCCAGCTTCACTTCAGAGCGGCTCGATTTCTCAGAAAAAGGCAGCAGTGAAAGGATCTTGGCCAGATTTGCTGGTGGTTTCTGCCAAGTGCTTTAATGTTCACCAGACCCATTTATAGCAAACTAAAGCGAAGGTGAAACAGCAGGCTGGCAGATGTCAGAATCCCAAGTGGAAGGCCCTGGTCCTTCTTCACCGGGGCTGGCCTGGGCTGGGGGTGGGGAAGGCTGTGGGGAGAGGCGGGGTCAGACGCGACTGTAGGGACAGAACCCACAACTGAATCATTTTATTCTTATACACCAAATATGAAACACTTTTATAATACAGTTTAAAAAAAATTGACCTCAAAAGAATTTTGGAAAATTTTTAAAAAGGAAAAATTTCATGAAGAATAAAATTAGAATTGCTTATAATCCAAATGACCACCATTAACATTTTGATGTAAATAAGCTACCAACCTTTTCATGTACATGAAATTTTTTCATTATAAAAATGGAATATTACTGTTGTGTAACCTACCTTCAAAAAGTACATTCCAAAAAAATGTACTGTGTCTGTAAAGTATTTTTATAACTATGTATAGAGTTTCCAGTGAATGGATGTCAAACAATTTTCCCACTATCAGAAATTTAGACAGTTTCCAGCTTTACTTTTACTTTCCAGCTTTTACTTCCAACTTTAATACTATTATATATAATACATCAGCAGACACCTCTGTAGATAAGACTCTTGATAATTTATTTTGGATAAATTCCTAAAGACAGTGAATTTGAAATTTATGGGTTTTGGTATATATTACCAAATCATCCTCTAGAAAGGTTGTATGGATTTATACAAAGAATAACTTAATCTTTTTTGTGGAGTATAGAAGTAAAAGCAATCTTTGCAAAACAAGTACCTTTTAAGTACACATTAAAAACTCTAGGTTCAAATGTTAAGGATTAGAAAAGACAAAAAAAAAAAAAAACCACGCTGCAAGCGATTTAGACAGTATATACCAAGAACCTTGAAAATATGTGTTCCCTTTGTGCCATAATTCCACACGAGAATATCCTAGGGAAGTCATCTCAACAAAGATTTACATATAAAAATATTCACTGCAACCTTATTTACAATACAAAAAAGTTTAAACAAATTAAATGTCCAACAAGAGGGTTTATGAAAGTGAATTATGGCACAACCGCAAGATGGACCATTTTACAACCATCAAACATGGCTGTTGGCAAAGATATTTTTAAGACACAAGAAAATGCTAATAGTTGCAATACTAAATAGAAAATGAAAAGCTGGATACAAAACTGTGTGTAAACTACAAGTTTTCAGTCATGTTAAAAAATATGTAGTCAAAAGAAGGGAGGGAAGAAGACATTCCAAAATGTGGGACTATTTTGGATTTTCCCCCATTTTAAAAAAGTCCTCTGAATTCTTTATATTTTCTACACTGAGGATACACTGCTTTGATAATCAGAAACAAAGTTAACAAACACATTTTAAAAAACTTTTTTGATAAAGCAACAATCAGCCCCTGCCTTGCTCATTTGAAAAAAAAAAATGAAAAAACACACACACACAAAACTCCAGATCGGTGCCTTCTGTTGGGGACAAAGAACAAAATGAAGTGTGAACAAGGCTGTTCCTTGAGTATCTTCTTAGTCAAACTTTTAACCATATAACAACAAATAAAGTTATCAACAACAATGGCAAGAATATTTAAATGATAATATCTTAAACACTAAAGATTACTGCAGTGGATGTATCATGTAATATAAACAGTATGACCTTTTTTCTTCTATTACATATATGTTTACAGAGATTGCACTCACATGTTAACAATGATCCTCTCTCGGTGATAAGATTGCAATTACTTTCTTCTTACTTTAAAAAAAAAATTTACACTAAACATCAATTAGTTCAGTATCAGAAAAAACTAAAAAAGTTATCGTCATTTTGGAAAATAATAATCAACAGTAACAAGCAGTGAAGAGGAAGGTGAAAAGGCAGGTGCTGACGAGTGAAGGCTTTGGGCAAGGTCTTCATCAAGTGCGTTTTATCAAAGTGTGGATAAAAAAATAATAAAATTAAAAACACAAAACAGAATAAATGAACAAATCAAATGAAAACAAACACACAGGGAACGGATTCTTGGTTATCAGAAGGAAGTGGGGCTGGGGGATGGCGAAATGGGTAAAGGCGGTCAACTGCATGGTGATGGATGGAAATTCAACTTCTGGTGGTAAACACACTGTAGTGAACACAGAAGTCGAAATATAATGTTGTATACATGGAATATGAAACATACAGTGTTATAAACCAGTGTTACCTCAACAAAAAATTTCTTTAAGTAAAGAAGAAAGATATATAAAAAAAGAGTGCCGGTTATCTGATCATTCTTCCTTTTCCAAGGAGCATGGGCTCTGGGCCCTGAGGCAGATGCCCAGACTTGCTGAGTGAGGAGCGCCTGATGGGCCCCAGAGGTCCACATGCTCACCCCAGGAAGCAACAAAAAGGCCAAGTGTCAACTGCAGAGATGGAATTCCCTGGGAGACGGACAAGGAGCTGGCCCAGCTGGAGTCTTACAAGGCCGGATCAGTGCTCAGAAAAGGCCAGGCTAGTGTACGAATCTCTTTCAGCTAACGCAGGGGAAGAGGAGGGTGGGAGGAGGGCAAGACGGGAGCTCTGAGGGTCTGACTGTCAGATACTCTAGTGCTGCTTCTAGCAACCCCAGGGCATCCTTTCAAGGGAGGAATTACAAATCACTTTTTACAGCAGAAACAAAGCATTTAAAAATGCATATTCCTAGGCGCCCCCAGACTCACTGACTCAATCTCTGGAAGAAGGGGTTGGGGGCCCCCACATACCTGTATTTATTATTAGCTCCTCAGGTGACTGTGGTGGTGTGATAGATTAGATTGCTGCTCAACAAACATTCACTCCCCTCACCAGACCTCCATGAACATATATACTTCCCAGCCCAGTGATCCCGGGCTTGGCCCCTGTGATTTGCTTGGCCAATGGGATGTCACAAGAGCAGGTACTTTACATGTACTTGAGTGGCTGGGCTTATGCTCTTGGCATCTGCTGCTGCCATGAAAAGATGCCCTGGGAAGCTTGTTGGCTCCAGAAGATTGAGAGAGACACAGAGCAGACTTGAGTCCCGTCTGAGCTCTGAAGGCAGGTACACTGGGCGCAGCCCAGGGCAGCTACGTGCTGGCTGACTCACAGAAAGAATTAAGAAATAACACTTGATGTATAAAGCACTGCGTTTTGAGGCAGTTGGCTATATGCAGCATTACTGTTGCCACGGATGACTGATAAAGATGCAGAGCCAATGTGGGAGCCTCAGGACAGGTTAAAGCGCAGACTCCTCTGCTTGGTACACAAGACCCTCTGTGAACCGACCACTCTGTCCCCTCTGTCCGCTCCCTAGTCTCACCCGGGTCCAAGCCACAATCATCTACTTCAGTGGTGTTCTTTTCCATCACCATACCTTGGCACGTGCTGTTCCCCCTTGTCTCTCACTGCTTCACTCCAGCAGCCCCTTTAAGACCTGCTCATGTGTCACCACTCAGCACACTAAGGACGGTGTGAAGTCCTCACTTCTCAGCACCCAGACACCCAACCACAGACAGGGAGGCATCTGAGTACAGGCTGTTCCCAGCAGTGTGACATTGGCCAAGTGATCTACTTTCTGTGACCTGAGTCTCCTCACTATCCACCTCACAGCTCTGCAGTGGCGAGGACAAACGAAGTGCTGTGAAGTGTTCAGCACAGAGCCCGGAACACAGTGAAAGGTCAGCAGCCTCTCCTCCTCCTCCGAACTCCCAGGGCCAGCCCAGGCGAGGCCCAGAACAGTGACTCAGTCAATGCTGATCATGTCAGTGAAAGAACCAGGGGCATTCTGTTTTTGTTTTGCTCTCTTCAGAAAGGAACAAGTGATTTTCTGGGTCAGATACGTAAACACTACATCTGCTGGCAGCAGTACCTGTTTCTCTATGAGCCTAATGGTGTCCTCCGAGGCCTTGTCCTTTGACTTCTTCAGCTTATTCATCGCGTTGGTACGAACCTTCCGCAGAGAGTCTTTGGCCTTGTTGGTGTTCTGTTTAGCCAGTCGCACAAGCATTTCCCTGTGCTCCCTGGTTACCCTGATAAAAGACAAAAAGAATGTTCAGCAAAATCATCCACATTAACTGCCAGCCAAGGATTTAACATCACTCTGTCCACTAGCTCAGCAGTTCTGCAACGTTACTCTCTGTCAGTGGCTGATCTTCACATCCCTGATACACGCCCAGGGTCAAGGAAAGTTCCTGGTGAGTTAGCTGAGGAGAGCCAGGGAGTCTCGGCAGCCTTGAAGTCAAATCCGGGCCATGCCCCTTACTAGATGCATAAGTGACTTCCTCTCCTCAGAGTTCCCATCTGTATAATGGGGACTGGCAGGACCCATCTTAGAGGCATGGTGTGAAGATTACGGGATGTGGCGTGTAAACTGTTTAGCACTGACCCTGGCACTTTTTAAGTGCTCAATAAAAGGAAGCAATTAATGATAATTCTACCCCTTTCTCTCCAACTAAAGAAAGCAACGCCAGTGAAAGATGCTACAGAAACAGCACCGTCTCTGCTTCTCTAAATCACCCAAAACAAATAAGCAGCAACCTTCAGAATCTTAACCATTATTACAGCAAATTACTTATGAACCACCTCAACACTGACCTATAGACACAACCTGAGTCCCAACCTAACGTGAGAATCCCTGTACCAGTTAACTTCTATAACGTACCCATGAGAGTATCTGGCATGTTACAAATGCTTAATAAATGTCAGTGACTTCTACTATTAATATCCTCATCATGGTAACAACAATGAGCACACTGAAGGCCTGTTACAAACCACTGGGACAGGCACCTCACAAGTTTTTGTAAGCTGACCCTTACGACAGCTGTATGAAGCAGTTATTATTCCTATTTCACATTTAGTCATTACAACAACCCACCAGAGTAGTCCAGTGTGTGTGTCCTGCCCTCCTTTCTCGGTCGTGTCCGCACTGAGTGCCTACGAGCTATCAGAACCAGCATACTGGCTATACTGTGTACGATGATGAAGGTGACAGACCTCTGTCTCGCTCTCAGGGAGCTTAGTAGGGAGAGAGGCAAGTAAAGAGACATTTACAACAGAGCGTGAGAAGTGCTGAGGAAAGGGAAGTGGGGAAGGACAAGGAGCCAGAGGAGCACAAGAGAGACTCAGCCGACTCATACCGGGAATTGTCTGAGTTTGGGGAGGGGTCAGTAAGGGGGGACTTTCTGAAGAAATGATATCTAAATGTGGTAGGCATTAGGTTTGTTCACTAGTCCTCTGGTTCTTATTCCTTCCAGCAGAAATGCACTTCCCCAGCCCCTCTGAAGTTTGATGTGGCTGTACAGCTTGTTTTGGCCCATGGAATGTGAGCAGAGTGGGTGTCGCCTTGGGGCGGAAGCCATAAGAGGCAGTGTGTGCTCCACCACATTTGTTTCTGTTGGCTGCAGTACAAGTTGAGAGGGAGCTGCCGTCAACTTGGGTCCCTGAGAGACTATGAACGTGCCCCATGCAGCATGAGCAAGAAACAGACTCCTATTGTTTTAGCCATGGAAATTTGGGGGTTGTTTGTTACTACAGCATTGCCCATCCTATCCTGACTAATACACCACAGTCAGAAGAATGAGTGCAAGTTGCCAGTACCGGGCATGGAGTTTCCAGGAGGAAGAAGGAGCATGTACAAAGGCTTTAAGCTGCAAGGAGTTCATGCCTCATGTGAGGAACTGACTGGAGCACAGGTAACAAGGAAGGGAGTAAAAAGAAAAGAGGCTGGAAAGCCGTATCACAGAGGGTCTTCTAAGATCATGAGCTCCATTTCACAGTTGAAGAAAATGAAATGTGAAGAAGTTTGGGATCTTAGGCAAAGTCAAACTTTGGCTGGCCTGTCTCAAAAGTTGATGGTCTTAGTATGACAAAATTCCTCTGCCTCCTGTCTTGACATGGACATCAATAGCGCATGGTTCCTGACCCTCAAATCAACATGGTTCTGGCCTAGTAAGGGTAATCCCAAGTTCTGGGTATATGTTTTTTCCTGACAGGATTAGAAGAAAAATTAAGGAATTTAGAGAAAGGATAAGCTCTGAAGACAACGCAGACAGCTGTGTGGATCCAGCATTTAAGGTTTCCTCAAATAAAAATGATCCTGACTACTACCTTCATGAGGTCCCTCAATGCCAGGTGAGTACTTTAAGTGTATTACCTCACTGAACCTCACAACAACTCGTCCAGCTAGATTCTAAAACCCCACTTTCCTAGGAGGAAACTGAGGTACACAGATGCTGAGTAACTTGCCCATGGGCTTGAATGACAGAACTGGGATTCAAATCCAGATCTTTCTGGCCGGTGTTCTTTCCACGACTCCATGCTGCCTACCCCTTGCAATCTATTTCAAGTAAATTAGGCACTGCTGCCATTGCAGAGAAAGCTTTTTTTCCAAAGTCAGTAATATGAATCTTGGGACTGAAAAGGACAAAACCACCATGTCAGGAGTTTAGGGATTTGGATCAGATCTTGTTACTTTTATGGTTTTTAATTCATTGAACAAAAATCATGCTGACATGTTTAGGTCTCTTTTTTGTTCTGCCAAAGCATATGTCAGTATAAAGAAGGAACAGGAAAATTAAAACTTGATCCACTGATTCAAAAAACTTAATCCTGCTGAAATACGAGGAGGGGCAGAAAATAAATGAATCTGAGTCTGTAAGAAACCTCTTAAACTTCTCTACAGAGAAGTATTTCAATCTTATAATTCACATATAATGTGAATAGGTATCCTACTTTTGCAACCAATCTTTAATAAAATAAAAAATTTATCTTTTTTGCTACATTGTTATATTTGTATTTTACATGCAGAACAAAAATCACATTCAAAAATATGTAAATTGGGACTCAAAAAAATCTTAGCAGTAAATGGCTGTATAAAGAAAATGAAATTATAATATATGTAACTTAGCCTTAATAAAGTATATGTTTATATTTATTAATGTAAATGTGATATTACTATACGATTAATACCAGGCAGTTTCCATACATAATAGTATTCAATTACTGATACTGACAAAAACATTTCAGGTTCAGGATGCAAATACAGAGGCAATAATCTAAGGAAATGGAGAGGGGGGTGCAGGGAGGAGGGGGGAAGAAGGGAGGAGTGGAGGGGGCACCAGGCACAGGAAGGGCTGCGGGGAAGCGAGGAACATGCATGCTCATGGGGGTCTTGACCTGAAATGTATCCAAAACAGGAGATCAGAGGCAGGCAGGGTGATAGAAAGGCACCAGTTTTGAAGTCAAGATGGACCCGTTTTATTCCTACATCTATCACTCAGAAGCTGAAGCTGACTATCTTTGGGCAAGCTACTTCATCCCTCTCAGCCTCGGTTTCTTTATCTCTAAAATGAAGATAATCAAAACACCTTACAGGGTGATCAGGAGAAGCAGATACAACATATATAAAGGACCAACAAAGATAGCAGCACATAGTAGCCTGGAATAAACGATAGCGTTTATGAATGTTTTAATCAAACACACTAATTACTTCCTTATGAAACAACGAGGGCACATCTGTTTTAGAAAAGAAACATACTATATTATGGAAATATTTTAATTCCTTTCCAAACCAGTGATTAATACATCTGATCGTCTCCATCTCGCGTTCTCAGGGCTCTGTGAGTACACGCTAGTTGTCTTCCAGGCTCTGGGCTCGGCTGGTGGGTTCTGAGCACTGCTCTGCACTTGGCAAGCACTCACTCATCAAGCACTGGCTGGGGCCCCTGTGTTCCCTGCCAGATCCTGGGCCAGGCTGAGGAATGCCAGAGGGGAGGCAGGCCTGGTCCAACTTCTCCAGAGGCTTGGTCCAGCAGTGTAGACAGCCTTGTCAACCGCAACTCAGGAAGAGCAGGACTGCTGCTGGGACAGAGGGAACGGGCCTTCTGTGGGAGGACCAGCCGAAAGTACAGCTCATTCAGCCTCCATGAGATTTGCAAAATGCCCTAGAGATGCGTAGTAACTCAAGGCTGCAGAAGAAGAGAAAGGGCACTTGAGGCAGAAGCACGGTGGGAGATACAACGGCAGGAAGGCATAAAGCTGAAAAAGGTGCGTCATGGTCAACTTTGTTCCGTAGGCCTGGAGTTTTCAAATTCTCCTCTAGCCACAAAACCTGGGCTTCAAAGAAAGCCAAGGCAAAGACCCCACGTATAAAACAGATAAAAAGAGAGCTATTTCAGTTAATGAGGGACAGGGCAATGACAGGGAGAGGGGGCACGGGTGGGGGGCGGCGGTGCTCCACCCCAGGCCTGTGAAGCTTATCCCCACCCTGACTCCCCTCCACCTCTGGGCCTGCCATTCACTGGCCAAGTGACCTTAAGCAAGTGATTTAAACTTTCTGAGCCCTGGTCAGCTCATCTGGAAGTAGAAATTGAAAATAAACAAACAAAAAACCCCAGCAACTACCTTTCAGAGTTCTGTGAGGATTAGATGAGATAATATAAGGGAAATGCACAGTACAAAGCTTGGGAGAGAACAAACAATGAGGAAATGCAAGCTGCTTTTGTTGCTACTGTTGTTTATGTTTTGGCAACTAAGGAGGCATCTTCAAATAATGAAGAGGCTTTTCACGGACATTTTTTATAAACAGAGAAATGACAGGGCAAACACTCTATGATCCAGCAAGATGACTTTTTGAGATCTGACCAGTAACTTAACATCTCATGTACATTTTAAAATCCAAATGTCGCCAGCATGTGGCCATGATATTTTCTCTTTCTGGTATTAATTCATTCATTTAGTTTATAGTTTCACTCAACAGCAGTTTACTGGGCACCTACTGTGTGCCGGCCACTACGTCAGATATGAGGAATATAGCATTAAATACACATGAGTTTGCAGTCTGGCTAAGAAGGCAGTCATCAAACACATACAAAATTAGTCAATAAGTTACTGTTGTAATAAGCACAATAAAGACATATAGAGCTCTATAAAAATAATAACCAGGGGAGAGGAGTCTGATCAAGCTCTCCTATGGAACTCCAGGAAGAAAATGTGAAGATATTTAAGTTAAGGGATATTAAGATGAATAAGA